GGCTCCTGAAGTTGAAAAAAAGATAAAATAATTTGTTGTTGGATGATCTTTCATTTAAAGATTTGAAAAGACTTTAAAAACTTAGTGTCACAACTGTATCCTGTGCAAGGCAGGAGATTATTATTACCTTTTTATTTTAAAAGGGGTACATTGAAGAATAGAATGTCACACAGTAAATCTGTTATAGTTTTGCCAAGAGTACCCAAAAGAAATCTAATCTGTGGCTTTACTGTGTATAAAATCTGATCTCTAAATGTGCATGAACCATCTTTTAAGTAGCTGCATTTTGGATGCACATAAAATATGCATCTGTATATCTTGAGTCATGCAGATCATGTACTGAATTGGATAGGCCCCCTTGAAAGCATAGCACATAGGGTGTGGACACATGGCAATTGCCATGGTGCAATTTTACCTTGCATTTTACTCTTTGGTAAATGTATTCCTAGTAAGGAGCAGAAATATGACCAGGTCTCCTAAGTTGACTGCCCACAGTAGATAATATTAAAGCACTAAATTGTTGTATGGCCAAGAGCCACATTCAGCAAAAGGCTTCTCTGTGATGAATCAACTAGAGGAACAGACACATGACACACTATGAGTGCATCTACACATTGCCCTATGGTGATGTAGCAAAGTTCTGCATCACTGTACAGCGCACTGCAGCCATGTAGCGATCACACGGGTCTATATGTGATCACCAGATGTGTTGCCGTAACAGTGTGCTTCATGGTTATAGTGTGCCGCTACAGTGACATAGCAGGAAAATCTGTGCGCTGTGTGCATGGCACAGTAACCACCCGTACTGCATTATGCTTTAGTACTTGCCAAAGGAAGTACTAAAGCACAGCACCATAGCAATGTCGATGTACGGTGTCATGTAGACACACCTTGCAAGTAGTAATTTTCCCAGGTAGTTGCTCTTCTGTTGCATTTTTCAAGAGGTAGCATTATCCTGGATTAACATGATTTACTATGTGTGGGGTTTGTGGCATATGTTGTGTGTTGCCCCAGCATAAAATATGTGATAAAGTTAGTTTACTACATGGAAAGCCTACCTTGTGTGTCACTCTTAGAAACTACAATGGTAAGAACCTAACCGACCAGACCACACACATTTTAAAACTTATTTTCAATTGTATACCATAGGGCTGAAAAGCTCAGCCTTGTTTATAGACATGGTAGAGCACTGAATCCAAAAACTGTGCTTAAAAGGTTGTAGTCAGTGGTAATTAATGTTTAAAGTGTCTGTATAAGCGTACACAACCAACCTACGTAAATGCAGATCCCCAAGAGATTTGTGATTAGTAGTTAGCCTTACTTCCTGCCTAATCTATTGGTACTTCCCAGATGTTGTAAATACCCCCATGTACTGCTAAGAATTATTCACAGTGGGAAGATTTCATTTCAGCAGTCATTTTTCTAGCTGACATTTTAGAGCATAATAGCATGTTTGCACTTCCAAAGAAAGTTCTCCACACATCTAACTACATTTTGGCAGTTTTTTGACCCCCTCTTCCTGTTAACCGCATACACCTCTAAGGCTGGAATCGTGGTGACGAGGACAGAATAGAACACAGCAGGTCACTGCGGCTCCTTGCTCGGCAAGTGGTATTTACTGAGCGAGGTGATGTGAGCATCAGTTTCTGAGCACACCAAGCCAGAGAAACATAACATTGTCTACCACACAGCAAGGTGGGCTTTATGTATCAGCACAGAACAACAGTGCTCAGCTTTTGTGCGAGCTGAATAGAATACAGCAGTAGTGCTCAACTTATGGCCCACAGACCATATCTGGCCCCCAAAATGCCTGGATTCAGTCCTTGGCATCGGGGGATTGGCAGCAAGTGGCTCAGCTTGGAGCATCCTCTGCCCTGCCCTGCCCTGCACCATGTTGCTGATCCCCTCTGCAGCCCTCCCTGTTCTGTTTTCTTTTTCTCTTCCTCTGCAGCCTTGCCTCTGACATTGGTAGCCACTTTCTTCCCCCACCTCTCTCCCTCCCTGCTCCATTACCAGAGGGGAGTGGTGGCCTGTGATGCAGCCAGGTCACAGGCACCCAAACTGTCACTAAAAGGTTGAAGTCTACTGGAATACAGCTTTAATTCAAAAATAGGGTGGATCCATGGGTCAACACTACAGGACCTTGAGCTATCTTTCTCTTCTAGGACCTGCTGTACTCTGCCTTGTGGGATCTTCAGATGCACTGGGCTTGCTCACATACAGTAAGACTTCTAAAAGAAAACAAGTTTAAAAATCTTCAGATACTTGGCTTTATGGGCTTCTGGGGCTGACATTTTGGGATCAGTTACTGTGATTCTATGCAGCTATTCTTGATACTTCATAAGGTTCAGGATTTGCACTTTGAAATGCACAGCAGAATGCAAGTCTGAAGCTATTTAACTTTTATTAGAGCCCTGAATTCTCATCCAGAGTTTCAACTGGTGAGATGAAACCCAAATAAATATATCTCCTAACTCTCTCTTGATGGCCCAACAGATGATCTCATTTCATTTTCTGCTGCACTCCTTACTTTCTCTTTCTTTCACAAGTCTTAGATGTGACTCCTTTACCCTACTTTTAACAAAATCCCACTCTCCACAATATCTGAATGCCTTGGTCTCCTCACTAGCCTTGCCTCACTCTAGTATCTGGCATACTTTGTGCTCTTTCCATGTGGCCAGCAATCTCTTCCTCCTGCTGAGGTATGACACCTCTCCCTGCTTGCCACTCAGAGAGTGAGGCAGAAGCTTGTAGGAGAGGAAGCAGAGAATATACAGGGTGCAGTGTAGCAGTGACTCTTTCCATCATACGTTTTTCCATCTGCCAGCTGTAAAATAGACCTCACAGACACAAAGAGTACCACGTTGCAGACCCACTGAAATCAAGGGCACTGACCTTACAGTCCTTTGTATGCATTACTTTTCCAGTCTAGATCTCACAGGCTTGTGCATTTCTTATATCAGTAGAGTGACAGTCTGTTTCCATTTTCTAAATTGCTACCGGTGAGTCCAGTTCATGTGAGAGTGAGAGACAATTATCACTTGCATGAGGCAGGCAGTGTTTAGGCTGCAGCAGTACAACTTCCCTGCCTTGCTCTGCTAGAATCTTTCTGTCCTGCTCTATTGTTCTGCTCCTGAGCCTCTTTGAGATGAGAGTGGGATGTGAACAACCACTGCTATGGAGAATTTTTATATACAGAAAAGCATAAACAAAATGCATAAGTATTAGGATGGTGACACAGACTGACCCTTTTCTGGAAGTCAATGGCAAAACACTCATTCCTTCAATGAGGTGGAATCAGTGTACAGGTGTGTGACACGGGGCTGTTTCAGTCACAGTACTCCTTCCAAATTCATTGGTTTGGGAGCTATAAATATGAGACAGCTGCAGAATCAGGGTCCTAGAACTACAGAAGTGGAGTTCTCCTCTCCCTTTGCTCTCATTTTGAATGTCTTTCTGAACTTCGTTCATCTCTTGGGCTCCATAGCCTGTTGCTGCCTAGAGCAAGAACCATGTTTGTTAAAAGTAGAGGCCAAAACATACTCTGAAGTCATGTTTGTCCACGTGCCTGACTGTGCACGCAGATGAGCACATAAATGTTCATCTCCTTGCACCATTGACCGATTTGTATATCAAAATCTGGGTATGGGTGCATAAGCCTGTTCCAAAACAGTCTAAACGTTTTGTGTAATACTGGGCCAAATCCTGAGGTGCTTACTCAGTGGTGACTCAGGCAAAACTTATGATATATCCCATTTTTAACAAACTGCGCACATCAATAACCACAGTACATTGTGCAGAGTTCCTTACCAGGCTGAACATGTATAGCCCTTGACTCTTATGCGACAGCACGCAATCTAGAGTTGTAACACCAAAGCTGCCTTTGTCAGTATATGATACCAGGAACTTTCACAACATGCATCTAGACCAAGTCTGCTGTAAGAGTTAATCCTTCCCACTCTTTTCCAACTAAAACTCCAGCAGCGTGGTGTGCTTCCTGCCCAGAATTCTTCAAGTGCTAGTTTCAAATCTCTGTTCTTTTACAACTGCGCACGACCACCTTTTCAGAGCTATTCCCAGAGTTCTGCAACTTCCCTGTATCTCCTTAACAAATTTAGCAGTTCCTTTAAAAGTTAATGAATCGAAAAAGTTGTGCTTTATGTGTTAATTCTCATGTCTCAATAGAGTCTTTCCAGAGAAATCTGGACTTGTTCAGTGAAAAGGAATGAGAGTCCTTTAGCTATTTCTGGAGATAAAAGCCTTGTAAAATATTCTGCAGATAATCAAGAGTTCAGCATTTCCTTATACAAGCTATTGTATTTAGCAGACTGTCTTAATAAAAAATGGCTACAATTCTTGCTTTTTTTAAATTTCCTTTGCAACATGCACAATATCCCCCAAAGCAGACTTACATTTGGACATGAGATGGGAAACTTATGTTTATAAAAGCTATCTCCGTTTGCTTAAAGCAAGAAGATGTGCTGAGAAACAGGTTCAGTCTGACAACATTTTAAACATGGAGAGACAGGATTTATCTGGCAAGTTCAGAAATATAAAACAGAAAACGAACACCAATGCTACAGCATCACATTGAAACAAACCACAGTAATTAGATGCTTTGAAGTTAAGCCTATATGTTCTTTAGCTTTTTCATGAATTATTGATCCACCTTTCTCATTAAAACAGACTGGCATGCTCTTGCCGAAAATGGACAAGTGACTACAACATTTATATAATCAAATATACTCTGCATCTGGTGATGAAAACACGTTTGTGTGTAGAATTTCCCTTCTGAATTAACATGTCTGCAAAACAGATTTACTAGCATTACCACATTCATTTTCTATTGTCTCTAGAACATTGCTCTTCTGTTGCATTATTGTTCAATCTGAAATTTTACACTGATCATATCAAGCAACATATTTTCGAGACTGTATCACTTATTAGACACTAGAATATTTCTTGCCTATAATGAGATGTAAATAAACTGTCTGGCTTACCTTATTTTCTCCATTTCTGCCGCAGAGGCCTACAAGAAATCAAATAATAGGAACAAGTGAATGAAGGAAAAGATTCACTCTGCAGATTTATGCATAGTTTAGGTTTTCCAAATGGTTCTCGACAAGTGTCTACAAAGCGATGGTAAGCGAACCCCACATCTGCATTAGCAGAAAATAACATTGACAGATTAACTCAGAAATAATGCAGCACGCTGCAGGAACACTGTATACCGAGGAGCCATGGGCAACAGAATGACTCAGTTGTAGCGCTGAGGCAGAAAATGAAAAAAAGCAAGTAACAGGTTAGTATGCCTATTGGATTTCACAGAAAAAGTTGAAATACAGTGCTACCCTGTGCATCATCAGCACCATGGAAGCATTCTGCTGGCTGTAAAACTGAAGTGTCTGAATCTCATGGTAATTTGAGTTTAACTCATAATGTGTCACAGATTTTAACAGCTAGAATGGACATGAGCATCCTCAGCAGGAGTTTTGGGTAATCAAATTAGTTTGTGCAAGTAATATGCTGTCTTTACAATTAGCAGCTCAGTTATTGTCTCCTTTTCATTAACGCTTTCATTCCTGCTTACCAAGCTTTATTGTTTAGCACCAGGGTTTGAATTACGGGGGAGCTGTGGGGGGAGGGGAGGGCTGACCCTGCCCTAAGAGACGAGAGTCCCCTGAAAGATTTGAAAATCATAACCTGGAGGGGGTCTCTGATTTTATTAGGGCATCATGATGGGCAGCCCAATTTTTTTTGCAGACCCCTCCAAGAGTCAAAGGGAATTTGAACCCTGTTTCGCACCATCTGATCCTTGATTCCTGTTTACCGTGGCTGTAGCATGGAACACCATTAACCCTCTGCTGTCTGTTTATCATAGCTATAGCAAAGAACTGCATTAACTCCTTGATTCCTGTTTCTTATAACTACAGCCCTAATTTAACATTTGATTCATGCTGAATACTCCAATAGAGTATAATTACATTAATTCCTTACCACATCTGCACTATAAGTTCCTTTATGTCCTTTATTTCCTTTTATGATATTAGTAGCTCTGAATCTTATTAACCCTTCTCATGACCACTTTCTCATTCAACCTTCTCCCATGTAGCTGCTCAATGTCTGTTTTGCCTCTACTTACTGTACCACTAGAACAGAACCTCATTGCCCCCCTTGGATCTTGTTTATTGTAAATAGAAGAAGAAATCTCAGAGAAATTCAGTCCCTAGATTTTAAGATTAATTCCAGCCTGGCAAAATTTCACACTAAAAGCATTACCTATTAATCATTAGTGTTTTAAACAGTATGGATTAATAACTAGCAGTGATATTAAATATCAAATAGATAAAATTCAAAGATTAATTTTATAGAAATGTAAATGCCATCAATTAGGCAGCAGGATTTATATGTCAAATTGCCTAATAAAACATCCCAAATGGCAAATTCTTGGTTACTCATTATGTCACCTATTTTCCTTCTGTTCATTTACTTTAGATGTGCACCATAGATGAAGTCATTCATCATGCCCATGTATGCATGATGATCTCTAATGACACACATAAGGAATCATAGAGAATCCAGTGATTCATTCTTGTGAATATAACTTGGTACACAAGATGCCAGCAGTTGGAAAAGCCATTTTTAGCTTCACAGTAATAGGTGTAGTGCATGCTATGCAGTCACAGCACGTTTTCTGAAAGCCCAGGGTTATCAATGGCAAATCCTAGATTTCTGAGATTTAAGAAATTACCTTGGGATCTAGGCTTGGTTTTCTTTAGTCATACCTTTATATTTCATTTATAATACTACCTTTTGCCTTTTGAATAAATGATACTTCATAGCCGTGGTATAAAATTGTAACTGATGGGGGTTTATTAGGTCTGGAATGGCAGGGGGGCAGATCCTCTGAGATATCACTGTTTTTATCACTTGACTTCCCCTGCAGTTATCCTCAAAGACCCTGCCTAATGATGTTGTTCCCTCCAGTTAAGGAAGGGTGGACACAGCTCCCTCCTGAGTTATTCAGTGTTGCTGTGAGTGTGAGCTGCAGGGGTCACTCAAGAAGAGTGAACGCCACGTGGGACTTGGTTCATTGTTTCTATTATGCTGCTGGTTTCTAGTGGCACAGGGGGGGAAATGATTGAACCAGACACTTGTCCAGTGCTTTGTTTTCTGCTGCGTTTGCAGAATTGGGATGAGGGCAGTTTTGTATAGTTAAAATGCAGGACTTCTAACCTCTTTTTTCTGCCTGTGCTATCGATCTAATGTTCAGAAGTGGGTGAGTCATTCAGAGGGCTGTGCAAATAACTTTTATTTTTTTGTTTGGCTGCTGAATCAAAAAATTAAATAAGTTCTTTGATTCAACTAGTGGTTTTTATTTCAGCTACTCTTTGAAGCAAAAACAAATAATAGACCCCAAAACAAACAAAAAAAGCCCAAGCCCATTGTGCACCTCACTCTTTGTGAATCTTAAGGTTTTTTCTGGGCGGGTGGCATAAGTGCTATTTTTATTTCCCTCATTATGTAATAGCATAGCTGTTAGAGCACTTGTGCAGGATACAAGAGAACTGGGTTCAAGTCTCCCTTTTAATCGAGGGAATTTAAATCTATATCTTCTGCCTCCCAGGCAAAACTCTTAGTCACCATGTAATACTGTAACGTTAGGTATTCCTCAATGGGATGCTCTTGATCCCTCCTGTAGATAATGTTCCACTTAGAAACAACAATGGAATCTAGGTATCTTACCACACAGATAAGTGTCCTAAGCACCCAAATAGATAGTCCTTCTTTTGCTGTATTGCTAGTCCAGTATTTTATTATGAGCACCTCCATGTCTGAATGCCTATAGCATTGTGGGACTCTCTTGGGAGATAGGAGAAGGTGGGATCAAAGCTCTTTAAGCAAAAAGGGAGCTGAACCCAAGTCTCCCACAACCTGGATGAATGCTCTGACCTCTGAGCTGTTGAGTAAAGCTAAGTATAGACAGTCAAAAAGCCCAAGGCTGAATCAGTTCAGTCTTCACAGGTTAGTCTAAACTGCATAGATTGAATCAATAAGCAAGCGAACAGACATTCACTTTTGATTCCGGAAACACAGCCACATTCCTGAAGTGGCTCAGGCCAGAAGCCGGCGGGATGCTAGAACACATCTCCTTGCTCCACTGGAGCAGACAGCATGGTCCACGGCTAGCCCACCCGCCCTGTGATGCGGGGGAGGGGTGGTTGTGGAGGTGCAAAGCATCCTGTGATGTTGGAGGACTGAGTTAACTTGAATCTGGAGGGGATCTGGCACAGAAGTTCAATAAGCTGATTTAACCTAAATCAGTTAAGTCCATCCAGGTTTATCTTAAACTGGCTTTGGCCATTTTGAAAGCAGTTTATGTGCATTGAACTTCTGTTGTGTTACAGATTTTACAGATATGGCCTGCCATCAGAGGTGGTTCAAGCACCTACATTGAACACCTTCAAGAGCAAATTGGATGCTTATCTTGCTGGGATCCTATGACCCTAGCTGACTTCCTGCTCTTTGGGTGGGGGGCTGGACTCGCTGATCTTCCGAGGTCCCTTCCAGCCCTAATGTCTATGAAATCTATGAACTGGGTTCTAATTATTTATATTGGCTTATGTGTAATTTCTGTTTCTACCCTAAGACTTGTGGCAGAAGAACCATGAATGTACCCCAATTTTTTTTTCTGGCCAAAACGTCTGAGTGACTTTGATCTAACTTCACATAGTTTCCATCTGATTGAAACCACATTTTTTATTAAAAAAAGATCACCCGTCTGTAGTTATTTACATAGAGAGGTCTCAGGTTCCCTGTCTGTAAAATGGGGATAATTAGACCAAGTAACTGCACTTTACAGAAGTGCCATTAGCACATAATCTGAGACTGTTTGTGATGTGTTCTGATATCCTCAGTTTGAAGGCAACAGAAGAAGTACCAAGTATTCATTAGGCTAATTACAAATTAGACTGTGAACTCCTGCAGCATTGTGTATGTACAATATCAGGTGAGAACCACAAGGAGAATGCTGTTTGGTGGCCTTTGGAAGCTACCACATTATTTCTGTTACAATTACCAGTATGAAAATGAAATGTAATTTAGATTAGGGGATTGCAATATTTTGTACGTACATTCATAACTTCAATTTGTTGGCAAGCTAGAACTGGTTGACTAGATACTGTCCACTAGGCATCTGATGGAGAAGACAATACAGGTTTTTTTTCAGGACCTGAATCGTTTATCTTGAAGATCCTGAACAGGTTTCAAGATGGTGATCGGAAACTGTAAGGCCTTAAATGGCTTGAGACTAGCCTATCTGAAGGACTGCAGAATTTTTCCCTGAGGAATTGAATTCACCAGAAATGCACCTGCAGTCCATGAAAAATATCTCTGGTCTTTTGTTTGGCAGCTCTCCTGCTCCGTTTCATGCCTGCCCCCCAAAATAAAATGGGGAAGGTTGATTGAAAAATTTCAGTTTTATTTGACATTGACATTTTCAGTAAGAGAAAAAAATATACTTTCTAACTAGTTCTTGCTGCCACAGCTATAGTCAGTAGAAGTACTGATGTTAGATCCTCCTCTGAAACCTAGAGGCGGCAGCTAGGAAGGCTCTGCCCATACGGATTCTCCTCCCTGGAATGTTTTCTTGCTCCTATTCTAAAATAGCCAATAGATTTCTGTTTTATTTATTTTTAAAAGTACCATGTAAGGCTTTTATACTTCATGAGGCCCCAGAGGAAAAAAGGCTGAGGTATAAGTTGGTACTTGAGTGCTAGAAATGACTTATAAAACACTTCTTGGTAAGCTGAAACAACAGCATCTTGATTTTTTGTAAAGGGCAGCATGATAAGAGACTTATATGGGTCCTACTTGAAAGAATTTTAAATGGTCTCTTATGGCAGAGACAGCAGATATAAACATGATAAAAGCAATGTTTCATTGCCAGTAGCTTATACATCTACCAATTTGCCTTTTCATAAAAAGTGTATTTCCTTCTACTTTAGAATCCTATTGTTTATTTAATGA